AGGTACACATAAACAAAATGAATATATTCACATTTTATTTGTCGAATAATTTTGTATGAACGCATTAAAATCCATTGATATTGGTCATCGTCGACATTTCCAACCATACAGTTCTTCCGTTTGTTCAAATACTATGTAGTATAATCAAATATGCTCCCCTTGTGGAACACACAAATACGATTGAAGAATACTAATTTTGGCTCGAAAAAGTATTTTGTTTCCATTCTTTTATGGCATGAGTAAAATAATATAAACTTTGATGTGATCCGTCGAATAATTTCTGTTGCAAAATGGCGTGTACATCTTTACGAACGGTCTGAATTCGAAAAGGTGAATTTGAAATAAATGCAAAATTGAAATGTAAAATGGAGTTGTTCTTTTTTTGGTTTTTTGGTGTGGATGGGGCCAGCCATCATCGCCGTCCATGATAAACTTACTATACGTTGGCGCTGTTAAAATCTGATACATAAATATTAATCAGTTGTCGAAATATAAAGAGAAAAATAAAATAAAAAGTATAATGACTTTGAATGTGTACGGTACATTTATTTGGTTTTGTGCTGAATGCACACTTCATCCGATTACAGGCTGAAAGGTTGAACGGCGGATACAAACGATAATGGCATCATCCCGAAAATGAATTCAAAAACTTCCACAATGCAACCAATTTGCTTTTAATCTGAAAATCCGAGAATGTTGCAAACATTTTACAGAGCTTGGAATTGCCCGAGTGAAATACATTGGACTTTGGTGAAAGTATTTCACTCTGTTCGATTCAATAAAATTCATAATGACATTGTCCAAAGATTCTAGGTCTCACATTCCAGTGGCGACTGTGTACAAATTTTCCAGTCATAATTTGAAATATTTGTGAACTTTCACTCAAAAACTGAAATCAACTAAATTGGAAAATAATGTGTTTTTGAGTGAAAATACACAAAAATTTCAAATTATGGCATTGGACAAAAAATACCCCAGAGACGAATAAAAACCAGCAAGCCTGCGGTCAATACACATATGCACATGTACAAGCTTTCGACAATGTCCAATATATTCACTCGGGTGTTCAAATTTAAATGCTATTCTCGCCGAAAGCAAATTATGAAGGGTGAGCCAATGCGATTGAACGCGAACAATGGCACAATAATAACAGCAGCAGCAAATCGAAATGAAAATGCAAACATTTAATACTTACATTTTGCACGACATCAAGAAAAAGAAAAACAACAGCCAAATGGAAAAAGATAAAAATCACACAAACATCAGGTGTAGGTGAATTTGTGAATGTGAGCTCTTTTCTTCTTCTATTTCGCTCTCTTTACGGCATTCGATTAAAAGTTTTATACGTTTCAGTAATTTCCTAATTTAAATAGAAAAAAAAACACGAAATTAGCAAGATAAACAATTGTCTATTGCAATTCATCACGGTGTTGTTTTGCACTATTGCTCACGCTTTATATTTTCTCACTCTATCTTACGTTTTAATGAATAAATTGCATAAAGTTTAAACATAATGGAAATTTTTCGTAAAAGTGCATCAAAAGAAAATTGCTTAATGGACGAGATCGGATATTATGATTTGCATTGCATTTTTGACGGCAAAAATTCATCGTCGCTCATCAAAATATACAAAATCACATTTTAAGCAAAACCACACATACACCAACCACAACCACACATACACAACGCCATACGCCCAAGTAAAATTGTATGTATTTTTGAAAATGCACAAAATTGCATCAAATCGTTCGTCTTGGTCGGCATGTTTCACTTTGTCGGTTTAAATCTTAAGATAAATGACGATGTCGAGTCGACAAATGCCATTTTTGCTTGGATACATGTCTTTCACTCTCTCTCTCTATTTGTGGGTGTTTGTCTGTCTGTTTGTTAAAATGGAATACAGAAGAAGCGAGATTTGTGCGAAAATTTAATTTGCTTCAGTTTCCATAAATTAGACTGCATTGTGGCCTCAAGCAGATATGAAATCGTACAAAGTGTGTGATTATAGAAAACATATACATTCTCACTTACTCACTTACCGAAAGTGTAGAGCAGAGAGAAAAGACAAAGAAAATGTGATATTCAGTATATATTCAAGCGATAAATCCAACATTCAAATGCTGTATGCCACATGAATTAGGGTTGATTGTTAGGTTGATTGAATTAGGTTTGATGAAATTGCCCATACGTTAGTAAAAATAAATTGTTAGTCGAAAAATAGTAAAATTGTTAGTCGAACCTAACATACTCTACACACATGCAATGTGCAGCTTAATTATTTCACATTTTTATCGAGCGAAAAATGTCTCGTTAAAAGCAATATCGAAAACTTGATTATGCTAATCGCGAATGCTCTCTCTCTCTCTTGTATGAAGCAAATGTAACATAATACTATTTCATTTTCGTTTCCGGATGCTGGGATGGAGCTACTGTTTATGTGAATGTGCCTTTTGTTGCCACATTATTAACATATTTAAAAAAAATTTGATTTAATACCGAATTTAATTCAATCATATTCAGCGCTTGAATATACTCTCATCACGCGAATAACGGTGTGAGAAAAGAGAAGAGATTTTCAAATTGGCACTCGGTTCAGTGTTACGTGCCATTCCTTTTTGCAAATCAGAAACGAGTCAATATATTCAGCACTAACCATTTAGTGAGACACTGACGGATGGAGTTTTATGTGTTCATTAAATATCATATATGATTATTATTAGTATCATCGCACATCGTCATTCTGCATTTTACATTCGTTCCAGTTTCGCTTTGTGTTTCATTTAATTTTCATTTGGCCGACTATCAATATGACAGAAAGCATTATATACGGTCAGAATATTAAGAGATATGATTTCCGACAGTCGACCTACCGTATTCAATTCACAATCTCTCTTAATAAGCGAATGAATAGCAATTTACGCCATGATCCGAGAAATTTTCAGTTTTCACCATCAATATAATGCCCGTAAATCAATATATATATTTATTGATAAAGTAATTGCATTTTAATTCGAGAAACACGTGGTTTCGATGTGAATAAGCACATTTTCCTCTTTTGTATCGATAAATGTTTTCGATGAAATGAGCTTCTGTTAGCAGATCTTTGCTTTTTAAATGCATTTTCCACATTTCTCTAACTACAATTATCTATTGAAGATCGATTCTATTCATGGTAGTGAAACTTATACACTGAAACCGAGAAATTAGTACATTGTTCCATACATTCAGCAATTTGGTCACATACGATTGGTTACAAAATAGTTGAGCATTATTTGTTTCATCAATTTAACTCAGTTAATATAAAACAATTGGATAATTGTGCAAAAATGATGTCTGCATCATTTATATGGCCGTCACACACACATACACACAACAAATGCCACGTACACAATCTCGCCATTGCCCCTTCTCCATTTTTCAATCCATTTGACAATTGTGTCTATGAAATAAGCGCATTTTCAACGCATTATTATTATCAACACAGACAATTTTATGCGAAAAATTCATTGGCTGGATTTCTTTGGGTATGAAAATAAATTGGATGGACTATGATACAAATTATGCCGTTATAAAGTCTGCGTGCACACACACGATTTGACTGTGTGCTTTTGGGCACGAACCGCTTTTGTTTTTATTGTCATCTTCAATGGCTTGCGAAAATGTTTTCATTTTTCTTCGTTAATACCATGACTTGTTTTTTAAATGGTAACAAAAATAAAATCCGAAAATTAAGTGAAATGATGAACAGAAGAAAAAAAATGTGCCTCAAGTATGTTGAATCTATCATTTTGTAATGATACATTTATACAACCCATTCGTTGAGATTGCAACATATTTTTCATGGAAACAATGGGAATCTTTTTATATAACCAAGTAAATATTAGTGAAAATATGAAATTCAAAAATAAACGCTTGAACAATAAAATATTGAGGGTGAAAAACGCAGGGATCGAAACGAATTCGATTTTACCCTTTGGTTTGTTCAAAGTAAAATATTTCCAACAAATTGGTTTTTACTATGATGCGCAGCACTTGATTCAACGCCATTCACATCCAAAACCAGTCCGTTTGAAAATCGGCTTGTATGAAAAAGTGTTGAAATAATTCCAATACATCGAAAGAACAAACGAAAGGCGTATAATGTTTTGATTGAACGAGGGTTGATGGATTTCAATTTCCAAACTCTTTTTTTTTTTTTTGCTACAAGAGAGAAAATCAATATGTGTCGAAAAATATTTGCATTGATAGAGACTGACGAGTTAACTGTGTAAAGAATGAAGGGCATAACAATAACAGAGAATAAGGTGACGGCAAGATCCGAAACTCAAAATTTTTGCGTGGACACATCTATTCGTTCTTTTGCGTTGAATCTTTATTCAAGGGTGTGCATAATAACGAAGTATAAAATAAGTACGTGAGAGAGAGAGAGTTAGAGAGAGAGATGAAGTGAAAGAATAAAAATAAAAAGCGCACGAATATGTTAATGAGAGATAGAAGGCAAATCGTCAGCTCACAAATCTGATTTATGCATGACGCATATCCGACAAAGAACCAAACGAGCCTACAATCATTCGACATGCATAAATCTCACTCGCTGGACGTGATCGAAAGAAGCTCTGTAAATATTCCATTTCGAGACGAGCGCGTGTATCGCCTTCGTCTTTTCTCGCAGAACTGATTGCCTATCCCCAAAATGCGTATCGATTTATCAAAATGGAATCTATATTTATCGAGGATTTGACAAATTGTTAATAACAATAGATGGAAACAAAAAAAAACGGAACAGCCCCATGGAGAGAAATGTCGAGACGAAGACATTTTCTTCGTTTTATTCTTACGCTTACGCCTATGATTTCTATTCAGCTCCAGGGATTGTCATTCATTAATATTTTAGGCATTGTCTCATATTGTGTGTGTGTGTGTGCTTTCTTTTTTCTTTCTTTCGTTTATTGAGTCTGATTCATTCATTCATTGCTTTTTGTCTTTATTTTCTTTCGCAGTGATAAATTCAACATATCAATCGAACGATCTAAACAGTGGCACCGAAGAGGATGTACTCTATCAGAGCGACGCGTCGTTCAGTGCAAAATTAGATAATTCATATTCGCACAATAATTTACAAAGCTATAACAAAAGTGTATCTAATGGCGACAATAGCCAAAGTAGCTCTAGTGTAAATAATTTAAATAGAAATAGTAAAAGCAGTAGGTACAACAAAAATATAAATGTAAAAAATACCAACAACCATAATAGCAACAAACCGTTGAATGTAAAATCACCGAACAAAGTGGATGCGCCGAGTAAGGGCGCAACCAAACAGACAACGGGCAGCAGCAGTAGCGGTAGCAGTATACCAAATCAAAACACATTACATATTGATGATGACAAAAATAATGTAGATTTTTACAATACAATTATTGATTGGAACCAAAACATTGACACAAACCGGCATGCAGATACGGAAAGCACAAGTGATAATGATAATAATGAGTATGGTTACAATGGCAACGATGCTGTATCAGGTTGGTTAATGTTTATTTTATGTAGCGAAAAAGCAATAAAATTAATTCATTTTTCCGTACATATATTTTCGTCGCCGTTCACTTACCGGATGGTTCACGAATTCGCACAAAAATTCCCCTCTTTAAAATTAACGCAAATTTTATGGAATTTCGACTGAATCGACAATTTCCTGTTATTTTGTCCACAGATGACACTGATGATGACGACGAAGTTGAGGACGATCTAGATTATAATGGTAGCAGTAGCAGTGGCAGTGATAGCATAGTCATCAAAATTGGATCGAATAATGCAATTTCGAGAAAATTAGTCGTCGACAATCTCGATACGAACAAAATATTGACGACAGCCTCAGCAACAGTAGCAGGAGGAGGAGCAAGAGGAACAGCATTACCAACAACAAGAAATGAACGACCAATTGCTGCCATTGATTCAACGACGATTGAACCAAAAATTGGCATGGGCAAAACCTTGCCATCGACTACAACTTCTAATTATAATTACAATAATGAAAATTACTACTCCAAAGACGATATGTCGGTGTATGATGATGTGAACAATAATCGACTCAATCTACGCAGCAACAGCAACAATGACGTCGACAGCGCCAACACTGGACGCTCAAATGCTTATGAACAGCGAAACATTTATGTGGCAAATAACATTTTAAGCGATAGCAATACCAACAACGATTCGGTTAAAACTTATATTCACATTGAAGTATACAAAGGAAATTTGGATGGTGTGGCGACAGCAAAACCAAAAGATGTGAAATCAATGAAAGAATTTGATGTCAAAGCAACGGCAAAATCGGTGCAATTGCATTTGAACAATAGTACGGATAGGACAACGGAAATGACGACCACAAAACCGTAAGTACACTACATTAAAGCATCAAACCCTGAAAGTCTGATTTAATGAATGATAACCTTAATTTTGTTCAACTAAAACGTGCAATGATAGTAGAGAAGAAGAAAAAAAAGAAGAAAAAACACCGCAAACGAAAGTGTCAAAGATTTAACCAAAATTACTGAATTAATTTTGTTTTCTGTGATTACAGTGAATCATGCCTTTTAGACTGCGGTACGGACGGCATATGCGACAACAGGGAGAACACGATGCGATGTCGATGTCCTTTCGGTAAAAGCGGTAGCAAATGCGAAAATGGTAAGCAAATTTAAGCATTTGTGATTTTGATAAATTTTTGACCATATTTATACACCTTTTTTCGTCCGATTCATCTCTGTTCAACACAAACGCAATGAAAATACATAACAGAGCGTAGCAAACGCTACCGCTATAGCGGTATATATATAGTAATGCTATATTAACAGCGCCTATCAATAGTTACTATTTGTTCACATTTCGGTTGTGTGCACTCTAATGTGAATAATGTCACTCTACATACAAAAAAAAAAACACATTGTTCACATACAAAGAGTGACCTTGCTCACATTAGAGTCCATCACAAATTGTTGTGGTCACATCAATGACAGAATGTGAAGAATTCAAGTCTCATTGAGCCGACGGTGGCGCCACCAATTTCAAAGGGGACGTCAATGTAACTTAACAACTCAAATAGAAACTAAACAGCGCGCCAATTTTGAAATTTTCTGTCATTTCCTCCCATTGGGTCACATAACCGAAATGTGTACAAATAGTAACTATTGATAGCATTACTATAGCGGTAGCGTTTTCTACTCTCTGCCCCATAAAAATTTGCTCGAATGTAAAAGTTGTCCTCAACATACCATGTTTCGTGATTGTCAAAAGTAATTTGAATGCATGGCTTGTACTGCGATGATGAGTTTCTCGTTGCCGGTGTACTTTAGTACCTGTGTTTCTCAATGTCCTCGTACGGGTTTACTAGTTATATTCATACTGAAAATGATTTGGTATTTAGTAATCGTGTATTCAGATTTCGTAATGCGACAGTCACTGGCACTATGACAGCTCCATTAAAGTCAAACAACAACATCCTATTATACAATAACATAACGTTTTATATGCGAATGCAACAGTTATCAAACATATCATCCTGTTATGAGTTTTGTTACTTTTTTTTCTTTATATATATTTGCCATTACCTCTTCATCTCGGTTACGTTGTGCATGGCAAAATTAGAATTTTCAGAATGACTTTTATCTCTGTGTCGGCCGGCTAGCCGTTGGCATTGTTTGTATGCATATCGGTGAGTGTATGCTCATATCTTGTTGTATGAATGATCTAAAACAATGGTGAAAATGCATTCGTGTGTCATGGAAATCTCTTTCGATCCTTCGCTGAACTGAATATTTCCGTTGCAAACAAAACGCTCATACACACAGTCACATACATTTTATGAATATATACAGATGTTTAAAGATAGAGTTCGGTGGAAATGTATATGATGTCTTTGTGCACACGCTTTCAACTGCACGACATACGGAATATTTGAATAAATTTCTACGAAATATTGCACGACATATATACGGCATTTGTGCTGTGTCTATTTTTCATGCTATTTTTATTCACAATTCTTGGCAAGCAATCGCGCGCGCATTACCAATCTTTCAGCTGAGTGCATAGCAAGCTTTGCTATGCGTGTAATAAAAGCTTACCATACATATATGCACCACCTACCTCCTTTTTATATGATTGTGCGAATGCGAAATGTAGTGGCTATGACAACAACACCGCCAACAACAATAACAAGCGACTACAACATGGCGAATGTGATGTGGCACCCCAAATAGGAGACAAAATTCATAAATACACAAGATATTTGTGCAATATATCCATGATAATGCCTGGATGGAAAAACACAAAAAGCACCAAAATACACACAGACCACACACCGCATCGCGCTACCGCTATTGAACAGACATATTCTCTCTTTCTCTCTCTCTACACATACTGTTGAATGGGCAAAATTTTGCGGTAGCGTTGCTTCACACAATATCGGCATAGTTATAAGGAAATTAATAATGCCATTCTTTCATTCAGCAAACCACAGTCACAGTTTCACGAGCACAACACACACAGATACATTCAAACCTGATACAGCCAACGGCACAAGTATCACCACCAGTAGAAATAATATCAAGCAAAAGTAGAGGCAGAAACCGAAGCAACAACCGTGTGCATTATCTATGCTGTGTTTTTATTTCCCACTTTGTTTTTAGCTGCCGGTTTTTTTTGTACTTTGTTCCGTTTCGCGTTTTCGTTTACAGCTTCTCTCTTTTTCATTCTCTGTCTCTCGGTCTCTCTCAATGTCTCTCTCAATTCTAAATTCACAAGCACAGTGCATTGTGTGGTTGTGTGTGTGTGTGTGTGTCAATCGTCTTTGTGTTTGCATTCGGTGCCGTAGTTATTCGTTCTGTGCTGTTTCAAATCTGATACCGAAACAATTGCATTATCATTGCTTATGGGGTGTGTGCATCAAACACGAGCCGTGTTTTTTTGTTCTTTTTGCATCGTATGGTTTTGCCGCGTTGTGTGATACGCCCAATGGTTTTGAGACTTTTGCTCTCCACATCCTCGCAACAAAACGATAACATAAATTCAAGAATAAATGAATGGAAAACACTTAAAAAGAAATAATTATCAAAGTAAGAGGGCAGAATTGCGTTTTTTTTTCGACTTTCGCATTGTTTTTTTTTTGCTATGTTTGCTGGTGTATTTTGAACAAAGAGGAAAAAGTGAGAGAAGAAATGGTGATTTGTTGGCAACATTCTATTGTTTTTAACAGCGCTTTTATCATCGAAATGTGTAGAACGGAATAAAAAAGGGGTCGCATTTTTCGTGAGCATTCTTTTTCGTTCCTCTCACATTCGGCAATACGTTTAACGACCAACAAATTTCCAAAAAGCTTGATAGCTTAACAGGAAGAAAGCTTAAAGTCCTTTCACCAAAATCGTTTGCGGTTAATTCTTGTTATGTTTTCCCAAATGTTGTTTGCCTAACTATTCTTCCGTTTTAGTTGGTCGGGAAATCCTCTAAGCTTTTGACAAAATGAACATACAAACGTAATAAAACGCACGCCCGCAACAAGAATTGAAATACATTTTCGTGTCTCGTGCTGGAAACAACATACCAAACTAATTTCGGATGGTAAAACAAATAAATAGAGACAGAGCGACAGAAAAAAATAGAGATAGAAAATAAGCAACGCCAACATGCAGAGCCAAGTGACGTGTTATTTACAATATACCGAACTGAAATTGGAATTGAATTTAAAGTCAATCTACGTTACCAACACGCATGCCAACACAAATATTTGAGTTTATCAAATTCCGGCTCAACTAATTTCAACATAATTTTAAACATTCCATATTCGATGAGTTTGGAATTGAAAAATCGCTGCCGTCGGGCATTTTGTTAAATTGTTTTTTCTCCGCTCATTCATTCCACACTTCGGTTCATTGGCATTGGTCGGGTTCGTTTTTTTTTCTCCTATTGCTTGCGATAGAATAGGCCTTTGTTAGTGAAACTCGTGCTTGTTTATTAATAATAAACCATTATTATTAAGTGACTTATTATTTTTTTTTTACTGTCCGTTCGTAAGTGCACCCATGTTGAAAAAAATATAAATATTCAAAAGTGTGGGAAAAAGAAAATGGGTTGGAAAAAATGTGGTATTTCCCACTCATTTTTCTAAGCTGATCCATTTAATGCATAAAAACAGCACAGCAAGAACGAATTAAATTTTAAACCTTTTGTCCGTCATTTTTAAACGGTCTATAGCTGTGCAGTGTCAGCAATGAGATTGCGTCAATTACGGAAAATATTTTTTGAAATTGTAGCCATTCGTTGTTTTCAATGCGTTCAGACTAAATCGATAATAATAACAATTCTATAATTAACCTTTTCATTTCATATACGTATCATTTTATTGTTTGGAGTTTTTAAAACCCAACAAGTTTTTAACTCTCTGTTTTTTTCTCAATTTGTTTTTTTTTTTTTAAACAACTCGTTTTTCATTTGTTTCTGTTTTTCTTTGTTCGTATCTCGCTTCAGTTTGTCTTTCGAGTTGTTGTTTTCTTCCTATTCGATTTCTCCAACTCATTGACAGACCCATCTTTATGCCCCATCGCATATTTAAAATTTTCCAATTCATTAAATACTGATGGACAGCATAAAGAAAAAGGTGTACCATTACTATGTATGCTTGCTCCGTTCATTGATTGTGCAATGCAGTGATGTTGTTCATTTAATAGAACAACAGAAGATTGATCGCTTTACATAAGCATTATCAATAGACACTAATGTCTATATCTAATATACATGGTGTTACATACGAACAAATGCACAACAATAACGGTTACCGGTACAAAAAGGAGAACTATAGTCTACTATCCAATTTGCTGTAACAGTTGAGGCGTTTGTCTCTTGTCCATTGTGTGCGATGTATATTTTCCTTTTTGTATTCGGTCTATTGTTAATCGCTCGATTTGAATATACTGCGGTTTCGTTTTGGATTGACATGCATTTCCAAGGCAACGGTAACAGCTTCGAAAATAGGGCGAACACGAAACAAAAAAATGCGGCTAAGGGTAAAATTAACTCAAACAATAATCCAAACTTTATTTGCCTATTGAAGCGATTTTGCTGGGATTTTTTTTACTTACTTTATCATTGTCTATTTCTCTATACATCTTCTTCTTCTTCTTCTTCTTATTGCACCATTGAAACGATAACCATTTGTTGTTGTTATACAAAGATTTTTTCTTCTTAAATCTGTTGGGCTTATGTGATCCAATTTTTTCTGTGCCAAAAGGAAATTGTGAAAATATTGTAAAAACTTAATCGGCTATGTTGAATTTTTTATTTCCAAATAACTTGATATAAATATGCATTTTTTAAATTGATTCCGTTTTTCGCCTTAATTCAATATGTGAATGGACATCAATGGACAATCATTAGTTCTTTAAATAAAAAATAATAATAATTTTTTCTCCGACAAATTCGATCGTTCGTTGATTTATCTATTTCCTATTGGCTATATGACCGTTTAAATCTCTGCATAATGAGTGCAATTCATATACCCTTGTACTCTCTCTCTCTCCATCTTTCTGCAAAAAATCCAAAACCTCTGCAACATGTATATTAATTGGGAAAACGCTTTAGTATTTTCCAGAGAGAGTGTACATCATGAAAATCGTTGACATTCAATTCGATAAAGTATATAAAATGGAATAGCGTTGAAAGTATTACGAAGAGATCAACCATTGTTTATTTTGCATCTGCTACCGAGTCAAATGACCATATTTTTATTTTTTTTGAAAAAGAGACAGAGTAAAATCAAGTATAGAACGATACAACGCCGACAACAGCAGCTGTAAAACGACAACGCCACGTTGAACGGAGGCGAGATAAAAAAGTCATCGTTCATCTGCATTTAGCAAACCAACCGAAAACACGGTTGCATGTTATTCGAAGCGAGAGAAGAAGAAAAAAAAAATGAAAGGTGAAAATTAAACGAGAAAATAAATGGCAACGAAAATGAATTTAGTGCTCATAAAACTTGATTCGCGATAAACTATATTACGTACAGAGAAAAAAAATTGGCTGGATTTTGATGGCTTTAGAGAGAAAAGGATGCGAAAGCGAGGAACTAAAAAAGTGTCCATATTGAATTACATCGTTCCAATTTTCGACAATCCAAAGCATTTGCAACACCGAATCCAGCTTCACTTTTATCACTTTCCACAAAATTCAAGCCACATTCGAAAGTGAACTTCTTCATCCATTGCATAAACTCGAAAACCAAAAACTGTGCTTAATTGTTTTAGTTTTTAATAGTCTAAACGAACGAGTTGTCGGTCGTAGGATGTGTATGCCTCTGGATTTTTGGCTGAAACATGCATTCATATATAGCATCTTCTTTTTATATATGATATTATATTATCATCATTATTATTTAATTTCAACTCATGTACTTCGAAAACTTTTAAATGGCAGTCGAACGCAGCCAATTCACGTATTTTTGGCACGGTGATAAGTGAAAAGCTAAAACAAAGATTATTGTTTGAAAATATGTATATGTATTACATACAATGAATAAATAATATGATAAATGTTATACAGATAGAATCACAAGCGATGTGCATTAAAATTGGCTCAAATATTTATCATATTCATATTTTACTCTTCATTCTTTTCCATATACTCATTCATTCTTCTTTTGTTTCATATTTAATCGTGTTTTGCACTGTGCAGTTGCCGATAGTCTGTCAACACCGCGGTTTACAAAGCATTCATGGATTGCATTTTCAGCGTTGCGTGGAGCTTATAAACATGTTCAGGTAAGTCAAAAGCAATATCTTTTAATATTACAAACTCTAAAATGTAGAGTCTACATAATGATTCAAATTGCGATGCACCTTGTGAAGACCAAAGTGCATTTCAATGCAATTATTCTTTGGAGTTCGAAAATTAATGGAATTTAATTTTTTGTTTTGTTCATTTATTTTGAAAATATTTCTAGTTGCATATTGAATTCAAACCGGAGGCGAACGATGGTATCATATTGTTAACAGGCGAACGAGATGATTTATCCGGCGATTTCTTGGCCGTACTCATTGACCAAGGGCACATTGAATTCTGGTGAGTACAATCGAAAATCTACTTGAAAATTGAAAGTTATGTTACATTGTTAGATAAATTCGGCTGCAGAATTGACTATTCGATGGGATTGGTTGAATTTAAGCTCTTGTAGCTCCATATTGAAACCAAATGTTTGATTCATAATTCCATTAGCAGCAAAATTGTTGAAAAGTCAAAATATAGTATATAACCCAATCGAATCATTTATAAGATCGAATGCGAAAAAAGCACAAAATGAATCACAAATTACGAAAAAAATGATGTAATATTTTATTTCTACTGTCACATATTGGTCGATTGACATGTGATGTGAACGATTCCAAAGATTGTGCTTTTTCATTATTTCATCATGAATTGCGGTGTCGATGGTAATATTATGCGTTGAAATTGCTATCAATTTTTCATCAAATAAATTCCAATCGAATCCATATTGCTCAATTCATATACAAGGAATTCAAATAATAACATATTTGTTTTTACGGCTGATAAAATGTTAAATTTATATTCTGATGTGCGTGCGTGCCAATGTGTACGTGCATGTGTGTGTATATATATGTTTGGCCATTTTCATTTTGTAATACGTAAAGAAAGCAAAAAAAAAACCGAAAAATGTATATGTATATGTATCTGTAGCAAATATATTGGCTGAACTCAAATAAACACATTACAAATTCGCGATAATGTACATACCATGTATGAAGGCATCAACGCACACATCACATACTTATATATCGTATAGACACTAATATATTTGTACAAATCAACCAAAAACATTTGAATCGTTACATTTACTGTATACATATCGATAAAATAACTGAGGCTGAGTGAACGAAAAAGGATCGGCATTCAACAAATTGGAACGATCTATTTTATTTAACTCTTTTGTTTGCTAACGTTTACATATTGTTTTGTGTGCGAACGAAGCAAAAGCGAATGAGAGATGAGAGAGAGAGAGAGAGAGAGAGAGAGAGAGAAGAGAAAATCTCTCTATGTGTATTTGTGTGTCAATTTGAGTAATTTGCAAACATTTTTCGTGGTACGAATTCAATTTGGTTCATCACTCTATTTCAAAATATATATTAAATAGACTGAGAAAGCATACCAACCGATAAAATGCCAACGTGCACATGTATGCTATAACATTGATACGATATATGTGTTGTGTACGTTAAAAAGATATAAAAAGAGAGAAAGAAAGTGAAAAACAGAAGCCGGGAGAGAGAAGCAAAAAGAAACGGAAAATTCAAATAACATAAAATAATGTGAAAGTAAAATAAAACATCTCTTTCATGTACCTCGCTATCAAATGAACAAAATGTTCACCGCAAACACGCTCAACGGCACGGCAAAAGCTAATAAGTGAATGCCACAATACAGTGCATTCAGTTCGGCATCGCTTGCATTGTTGGTGAGCTCATTTTATCCGGTTTCGTCAAATGGTTGGGATTGTACTCCTGCTGTTGTTGTCGTTACATTGAACAAACGCCTGATGCTGTTGTTTTGCTCTTTCATCCAGATTTAGCACACCACCGACTCTTTCAAATAAAAACAAATAAATAAATAAGTTTTTAGGAAAAATTTTACGCTTCATTCTTATGCAAATGTTCGTTGTCGCGTAATTTTATTGTTGCGCGCAAATATGACACACGCTCACCAACTAGAAAATGAAAAACCGCCATGATTCATATCCAAAACTTGTATTTTGTCAGCTTAACAAAATATACGTAAATTCTGTTGAGTCGGTTAGTGTTTGTTGTTTTTGTTATTTTTTTTACATTGCCTGATTGCGAGGGTAGTTTGCCTATCGGTGCCAAAATATGGATTTTTATTTACCATTTTCTGTGTATACTTTCACACGTTCAGTAAATTTGGTGCGGCTGACTGAAATTATTTATTGAATTACAACAAATATTTATTTACAAGTTTTTTGGGGTGTAACTTGCTAATTAATGATTAATGAAGCATGTACAATGGCTACGAGCATTTTGAATGCACGCAATGCGTGAATTGGAGACGAACTCACATGTGTGTAATAGAGCATGTATGTGAAATGCGTATGCGTTGTGCAGAGCCATAAAATGTATTTCACTAGGGGGTAATCGCGAATTTTTATTCACCAAAATTTAACTTTATTCTCAAAATCTGATTAAAACTCAAATATCTTGAAGTATTCAATTGTATCTCACAATATCTCAAAGTATTGCTGGATCTTTAGGATCATTCAGATCGCTCCCAGTTCTGAAAGTGGACCCTCAGGATGGGCCAGGGCATTGTCAAACCATAGTCTGGTCCATCCTGAGGATCCACCAAAACCCGCTTCCAGAACTGGGAGCAGTTCTGATGATCCTGAGGATCCACTAAAGCCCAATTCCAGAACAACTTTAGATGAGAATATCTCACAATATCCCCCAAAAATGTAAAGTTGCGTTCATATCTCTCGATATCTCTTGAATTCGTTGAAATCTCCTGAATTTGTTCATATTTCTATATATTTAAAAGCGCGGTTACCCCCTAGGTATGTCACTTTGATTCATAATAATTGAGAAAGGCATCAGTACACATACACACAGAGAGACGTATGTACATTATATGTACAATAATATATATGTTTCGTTTGACTAAAGAGCCAAAAGCGATGGTTCAATCAACCAAATACAGATTTAATTTTAATACACGGATACATGGAATCACAATCTTCAACACAATTCGATTAATGAGCTTGTTGCCAAAAGCGCCGAAAATATTTTGATTACAATCGCAGTTTAATGCTATAATTGCTTAGCGCTCAGCTCTATTCGGACCAAAAATGTTCTGCTCAAACACACATACACATCTAAATGCATGCAATGAAATGCTTGTTTGAGTACCATATTGCATGCAGATGCTATAATCTTCTGAAGAAAATTATGAGACGGAACAATATCAATTTGGATATGGCGTCGAACTATTAAGATGTTGGATTTTGCTTTCAGTAATTAAAACTTGCTCCACACCAAGCATAAACAGTGAACTAGTTCTGTGAAGAGTAATTATATTTCTTGAGTAAGTTTTTCCAATTTTTAGTGTTGTTTCATTCTTGATTCTTTCTTTTTTTTTGTAACCATATTATGCACAACGGAAGTCAAACAAAAAAAAGACGCGAAACGAAATTATGCATCGTTCCGCATGTCATAAAATGTAATCGATTTGTGCGTTATTATTAGTCATATGCTAAATAGATTCAGTTAAAACATTGATGCGAATGCAATTACGACCTATTAAAAATTATAGTAATCGTATTAATGGATACGAATGAACATTATAATAGAATTTAATGCATTTACAGCCAACGCAAATCCACAATGTGCTCCCTTCCCTTTCATTCTCCCCTCCTCTCTCTCTCTCTCTCCCTCTCTCTCTCTCCATTTTTCTCTTTTTTCTTTGTTTATGTATATACAATTTGGCACGATGCCTTTCTCAATTGGTACGGCTCTAATCGAAAGTCAACACGAATTCCAATCCATATAGACATAAATGAGTATCATTGATTTAGCTATAATGATTTTGATAAACAGTTAAGAATGTGCCCCAAAGCATAATTCGAGCATTGTGACTACGTTTTTGGAAGAATAGAATATAATTTATTGCGAAAAACTATTCAATTATGTAAGGATGTCGATACTTTTAGCCAATATGGATAATCGGATGCGTGTGAGCATTCGATGTTTGTGGCTTAATACATTCATATTTTTTCGGCTAAATGTTTCATCCGGAAAGAGTGTGTGAGAGTGTGCTAAAGAATGTATATGTGACGTAATCATTCCAAAGGTAAACTATTTATACTAACCAAATGGCCGAAGGTAAAAATCAAAAGCACTCTCGTTTGATATCATCGAATTGATTTTGGATTAAAATGTACCACATTCAATAAGTGTCAGTTGGATAATACCGAATCGTTTGTGTGCTGGCATCAGGGCCAAACATACACATCAAACGTATTGGAATTCGTCGTACTATGAAAAAAGCTTATATTTACTTATTCATACAATATTAAGGAAAATTTCAATGCAAAAAGCTCAAAATGGTATTCGTTTGGAAATCGATTTCGGTTTATGCTTTTTGATGCACGAACGTGTTGGTGTATCTTCGTTGCCATTCCATTTCATTTAAAGCACTTGAAACAATTTTACGCAATCAAGCGCAAACAACAAAATCGAATGAAATGAATCCGAAAAACCAAACTAACGCAAGTAATTTTGGAGATTACCGTTTCATTCGCAACACATTCAGTCACATATGCATCACACATGTTACAAATAACGATAATGCTTGCAATTCTATTAATACAGAAGGTTTCACATTTAATGGTGGTTCAACCACAACATTTGGGTTGTTATTTTGTGTGTATGTGAATGCGTTGTACCGGTTTTTTTTCTCTCTCTCTCTATGCATGCACGAAGAAAATGAATGGGTGAGAAAAAAAGATTTGATACAATTTTTTTGTTGTTGAAAAAATAACCAAAATCCGTAAATTGATGTTATTTGCCATTAATGAGCGGGGCATGGTTATTTACAACACTGTCATCGTGCCGAAATGGTTACACATACTTAATTGCTGAAACAACACTTCAATTCATTTTGACTAGTAAAGAAAAGCGGATCAGTGAATCACAAATACATAGCACATATTAACATTTTCCCCAAAAATGGAGCAACGAGGAGACGATAGAAAGATATGAAATTCGAACACCAAAACTCATTCACACATCAAATGAGCGTGCACACACAAAATAATCACATTAACTTAATGCTGCATATTATACATGCCCGATACAGAAAACGCACCAACCAAAATACTTATTTTATGCCAGTATTCGCACTGTATTTTCACATAAAATACATTTGTTACGATGGCACTCTCACTGTATTTGTGCTCACATGAAGTGTTTGGCATTTAAATGCATGAGCATCAATAAGTGTCAGGGCAACAATGGGTGTATGTGTGTTGGAGAGAGAGAGAG